AATTTACAATAGAACTTGAAGAGGATAACAGTCTGCCCTTTTTAGATGTGCACATCACAAGGACCGAAGATGGACACTTGGAACACACTGTCTATAGAAAACCAACACACACTAATAGATACCTGAACGCTAAATCTCATCACCACCCATCACAGATACAGGCAGTGGCAAATACATTAATTGCTCGGTCCTTCAGGCTCACAAACGAGAGGAACAGAGATAAAGAACTGAAGAAAATTAGTACCTGTCTTCAACAAAACGGATACCAAAGGCGCACCATCAACAAGGCAATCAGTAAACAACAACAGCCGCAGCAGAGAGTGCAGGACGAGACCCAACGAAGATCGATCGCTGTCCTGCCATACATCAAGGGGGTTACTGACAAAATCGGCCGAATATTACGGAAACACGACATATCAACGGCATACAAACCTGACCATACCATCGGAGCAATACTAAGAAACCCAAAACAAAAAATTACTCTGGAAAACCAAGGAGTATACAGTGTAGCATGCGGATCGTGCAGCCTGACGTATGTGGGACAGACCAACAGAAGGATTTCAGCCAGGCTCGAGGAACATCGTTTAGCCATAAGAAACAAACAAACAACATCTGCTTTGTTTCAGCACCAACATCAGACAGGCCATAAAATTGATTTCGGCACTTGCAAACAAATAGCTAACATTCCTGATTTTAGGACTAGGATTATACGAGAGGCCATCGAAATAGAAAAGTCCGGACACCTCAATACGAGAGACGACGCTCTGCATTTATCCAACACGTGGAGAACGATAATCAAACAGCAGAGCGATGCGCAGCAGCCAACGGGGACATCGCAACTACGATCGGGCGAAATTAACAACGCGACAATTCAGGGGGCGGAGCCACCTCCCCCCACGCACAAGCAGCACCGTTACCATCTCCGGCGCAGAGTATAAATACCGCACGCACCGCCGATAACCTCCCAGTGTTCGAAGTGTTTTCGGAGCGCGAGCATTGAAGATGCCAAGTGAGATTTTGGCGAAACGTCTGCAGGATTCCAGTCGGATGCAAGATTTGCAGGATTCCAGTCGGATGCAGGATTCCAGTCGGAGTTCAACGAGCGAACGGATGATATCCCGGAATATAGTGTCATCACATTTTTCCATCCGTGAATCAATACGTGAGAATATATATATATATATATATATATATATATATATATATATATATATATATATATATATATATATATATGTATATATATATATATATATATATATATATATATATATATATATATATATATATATATATATATATATATATATATATATATAATAAAATAATTTGCTCTCTCGTTTGCTGCTGTTCAATAGGGAACTTTTACAACATTTAATCTGAAAAATATTGATTATTAATGTAAGTTTATCCTATTTAAAGAAGCACAGTTTAGAAAAAAAATAATTTCGTGGTACTGTGCAACAAATATAAGCAATTAATGATTTGAAAATTTAAATTTTTTTGAAACGCGCTGTCATTGGCTGTAACCGGTTGTGACGTCAATTCGCTCCTTAGACTACGCGCCAGGTACGGTAGTAGAAGGTTTTGAAAATAACCGAAGTCGATTTTTTAAAAGGCCAATCTGATAATTTACCTTCATTGGATATGTTTTAGGTTTTTCTTTTGCTGAAGTTCGCGGTGTTAAAGCTAAAAGGTATGTTCATAGAAAATTTAGGCAACAATTTTAAACCAATATAATACAGTAATCAGCTTAAAGTTTTCTAGTTTTTAAAATTCAAATTGTTCAACAAAAAGGATTTTTTTAAACTAGTAGAAACCTAAACACTGATTTTAAAGTTTATTGGTAAGTATATAACTCAAAGTGTTCTTTATTTTATATAGATCAGGAAGTCATTCCCATGAAAACTACAATAGGATGGGTGCAAGTTCGAAGAGTTAAAAATATTTGCACAGTTAAGGTTAAAATGGCACCTGAACATAATGTTAACAAAAGACGACGGCTTTTATTTTCTGACCGACGAATAAAAAGTTTATCTGTACTGTACTGTACTCAAACGAGTTGTAATATTGTTTTGTGTTGCTTTCATTATTATCATGTAAAGCACACTAAGCACAAATACAAACTGTCGTTGATTAAATAGAAACACATTTTACACCATCCAAACATAAAAGTAAATAATATAATTGTAGGCTTATAACCTGAGAATAACTCTATAATATGTCGCCGTATCGATTGAAAAGCAGCGGTTTGACGTCACCATCATTCCCGCGCATTTAATATCGTTTAAAACGAATAGCCCAATATCACAATTTGAAATATTTATTGCAACTTAACTATTGGGTTTTGAGTTTTGATATTTGGTATGAATTATTTCTATACACACACACACACAAATGAATTAAGGAAATAAAAAAAATGTTCGACTTCCCTATTAATGAACTACCTTCATTAGAAAAAAGAGGTTCATAGTAATTTGTTATGTATTTCTATATTATTATATATATTTTTTGAATTCAATTGCTTCTTTAAGTATTGGTATTATAATTTTCTGACGGACAGATCCCATGTCACTCAGTGAAAATTGTACCCAGAAATTAATGTTGGTAGAAAAGGTTTAGTATGCAACAATGTTGATAAACATCTTCAGCTACTCTTGGTTTCCCCATTACTAAAATTACTAAAAAATATCCAATTGTATTATAAAAGGATAGGATACATTTTCCGAATGAAAACTGAACGACTTGTCACTAAATAAACTTTGTTGATAAGACGGATGCAGGTTATTTTTAGATTCGCCTGTTTACTTATCATTTTCTTTAGGTAAGAATACTTAGTTCTATGAGATATAAAGTTATTGCAAAAATTTAGCAATTGGTTTCTTATGTTAATGGTAATCCGGGTTGAGCTCCATTTTAATCAACACAATTTGCAAAACAAACTAATATGAATGAACCAAACTTTATTTCCGAAGAATATATCTTAAATTAATGCTCCGTTATCGAAGACAACTTTAATTTGTTAAGATTCCGATTGTTTTTAATATAAGCAATAACTCGGGTTCATTTATTATAATACCAGTTAATTTGCCATATCTAATATCGTCGTGTTTTGCTTATCTCTTAAACCCACTGTTCTCCCACGCAACTTTATCCCCAATCACTAACAATCCGTCGCACATCATTGATTAATTTTTGTGCTGTTTTCAAAAATAGCAGGGAAATACGATTCCCCTCACAGGACAATCCTCTTATATACATAGAGTGGAAAAATGAAATGAATTTTAGCTTTCCGTAGATATTTCGATTGAAGTATCTGTGAGCAAATATTTTTTAAAGATTAAGCTTCAATATTTGAAACTCTTGATTCACTTTAAATTGTAAAACTGAACATTTGATTGTAAAATATTCGCAGATCAGGATGATTGGACGAATTGAGGGTATAGACAGCTTAGATATTTAGAAAAATTTCCTGACATTTCTCGTTTGTGTAATGATGTAATGATGTACAAACGTAGAAAGGAACCTCGTTTATCTTCCCAATGTTCTAGAGAAAGTTAATTTTTGCAGTCTTTTCTTGGAATTATTGTTTTTATTGTTGAATTGGTGGAGGCTCTAAAAATTCAATTTGATTGCGTATTAAAAGTGAGTTTCATGCATGCATAAGTGAGTTAATAAATACCTAGATATAAATTATAGTAAATAAAATTATATGAGATTAGTAACCAATATGGGACATATGGATTTATAAATTTCTGGACAATTGAATTTGAACATTCCAGGGATATTCGGATTGAAGTAAATGGGAATGAATTACTTTACAAATGTATTAAGTTTAAATGTCTGATGGTTTTGTTTTCCTTCAAAATGTAATCATAATAATATTGTTATTAAATGATACGAAATATTCTCGGACTTCTATCATCGGTGAGAATTTTCGATAATGATGTATCTCTCTTTCTATTGGTCTAGACAAATTTTATTTTTTCAGGCTTTTCTAGAAATTAATAAATTTATTTTCCAATTGGTGGATGCTCAGATATTTGGAATGTTATCCTTAATATTTTCAATGAACGTTTTTAAGATGATGTATGTACTTTACACACGCAGAAAAAAATTACATCTTCCTTTCTTTTGCCCTAGACGAAATTTACTTTAACAGGCTTTACTTGCAATTATTGAATTTATTGTCCAACTGGTGGAGGTTAAAAAAATTACATTTTTGTATACTCTTAGGGTCACAGATTTAATTACTTAATAAAAGTTAAATACTAATTTAATAAGTATAGAAATACCTAGTTATAAATCATATTCTAATATTGTAAAATGAAATTTATTATACACTTGAAGATTACTAATTTCAACTTTTAAAATGTTTACAATTTTAATAGCAATAGCTTGATTAATTTGAAATAGTTTTTTCATTCAATAAATTCAATAGCTTATTATATGGTCAATCTTTATAAGCGAAGTTATGCCGACTGTAATATACATGGTGTTCCATTAAAAATTATATTAAGGTTTATATATCAGAAACTTAATGGTTTTTTTATATGTAACATGTAAAAAACTTGGCTACTTTTTTCATCAAATCACAATATGCACAAAGTTAAGAAAAATAGCTTTCACCTGCGCATTGTAGTCTCAATATTTTAATATTATATAATTCCTTGTAGTAAATATTATATTTAAGTCATTTTTAGTAAGACTGTTTCTTATTTTAACTTTTTTCCGGCACCAGATTATTTTTTCATCAATATTTTATAACTAACTGACAACTAACCCAACTCACCAACCAAATGGAAAGGCCAGTGAGTTTATAAGAGAAATGCCTAAGAAAATGTGTTTTGCGAGCCCACCTTAATGGTATTTTTTTAAACATAATGTCGGCAAGCTAATTTTCCTCCTCTTTCTGGAGCGTTAAAATGCGTGTGGCAAGATCGCATGCGTTCCATCAACGTGACGATTTTGTTGCTGGTTCTGGCGGCAAACGCGCTCTTACCACCGAACTGATCGAGTGAAAATTCAGAGCTTCCGCGTCGCGAAAAGTTGCCGACAAACTTTCACTTATACCAAGTACCGTTTTTTTAGAGTTACACGTACGATGCGGAACATTTGGACTTTTGGATTAATGAATATCTAAGGTAAGCTAACCGTTCTCGGTTCTGGTTTTCGGTGAGGACCGCCAAAAAAACCATCAATTTTTTTAATTTCTGTTTATTTTAAGGAGCGAATTTGACTCTAATGTGATGACAATTACAAGCATGCGTGTTGCGTTGACCTTTCGACGATAATTTTAACTCGTTTACGTTTAATAATTATCAACAATCTCGTTTTCTAAACAACAGCATAAACCGAAATCAATTAAGTTTATTGTGATCAAAGGTTTTTCATATCAAATACCGAATGCTTGATTTTGCATTTTTTTTTCATTGGACGTCGAATGTTATATACGCATTATAAACATGGCTATCTAAAGTGTGCAGTTTGTCTATGACACTTACGAAACACCTGTCATAGGCAGCAAATCATTTCAATGTTATAAAAACACACTTAATTTGTTTAAAAAATTTCTGATAAATTTCATTTCATATTTTTCATATATTCTTATGGTTCATATGAGAGTATCGATGCCAGCTAACCTTCGGTCCCTCCGCGATCCATATTTTCGAATCTAATAATTTATGTTTTGAATTGTAAAGTAGGATATTGAAATTCAGTTTTTTTTTCGTTATGGAGTGGTCGAAGGACTGTTACTGGTGTCACATATTGTTTGATGAATGTCTATGTTTGTTTGTTCAAAAATGCGAACTTATACCGTATAAATCCGTCGGTATTTTTATTTTATATTTTATTAGGAGAAATAGCAGTCAATTGGCAAATGTTGTCGATTTTCCATATCCTAATATTATTTTCAATATTGCCTGGCGCCTAATTTATTCCTCCAGAATAAATATTAAAAAGAAATCAATATATTGAAATACATTTTTAAATCCTTTTATGGGACAGACAGTATTTATTGTAGAGCGTTATGTTAACTGAACTTAAATGTGAACTTAAAAAATTACCCCTAAATCAAAACTAGTCACTGGATAGAATATTAACTCAATTATTTATAAAAAAGAATTCTAAAAGGGTATCACAGAACATAATACATTCCTTTCAGGACTATCAGAGTAAATGTGATGAATACCTGCAAAAATTTGATATTGTTTTGGATAGGTATTGATAAAAAGAGGTTAAAGTGGTGCGCAGAAGAAGCAAAACTAATCAACAGATGGTATGTTAGGTAAACTAGTAGCAAAAACTGAAATGAATCCGTTTAAGTGAATTGGTGCTATCCCAGAACATGTTTTGATGAAAGGATGGTCCTGTGGTGATTTAGATACAGAATTTTAGTTGACATTGATTGATTTAAAAATGATTTTTGATATTTAAAATTTAGATGTCGAATTTGCTTCATTGTTCTTGCTGATTTTTAGAATTTTGGGATCTGCGAAGTGTCCTGTTTCCAAATATTTATTAAATAGTTATATAAAATGATTTTGTGCTCTTTAGTACGTGGAATGGTCAGTTACTATTACCGTACTTTCAGTTTTCATACCGAAAAAAAAAAACATTCATAAATGTTTGTTTATTTTGGCTGCCAAGTTGGACTTATTTTATGAATAAGTTGTCGTTTCATTTGGATATAATTCCTTTGGTACAGTTCATAACGTTGCCCGATAATTAACTTAATTAATTAACTTAAAATAAAATAAAATCTCAATGGTTTAAATCTCGGAATTATGCGCATATGGAAACTGATACTTTTGAATGAAAATATTTCTATTGCTGTAGTCATTAACGCAAAATCTATTCGGGAGCGGAGATTTAGATTAATCAATTTATATCAGTTCAATTATTATCAGACGAAACCCACAAACAGCAATAAATTAAGAGTATTTTCCGCGGTAAACATCCAATACAATAAAACGATATTCGAATGGCATAAATAATCTGCATTTTCTCTAATGTGTTTATCTCCAGTTTGAAGCCACTTTGCATTGTGCAATCCGATCGGTTTGTAATGCCAGTAATTGTGACGTAACAATAAAGATTGAATTCAATGCCGGTGTTTTACATTCGGGGTAAGTGACAAGGCACAAGCCAATTACAATATCATTGAGTTAACTTGCAATTACACATTCAGTAGAATAATGTGAACCAAATGTACCTAATCAAACAAAATTCCTGAACCCTACGAAATCTTTAAGTATTCGTGAATTGTATCGAGTACGTCGTATGTAAAAATTGTTGCCGCTACTTTTATAATAGTTCGACGTGACTAGAGGTCACTCGGCTTTGGTGTTTGAAGTTTGACAAGTCGTATCCATTCCTGATAAGTTTCACTAAAGGTATTCTGCGGTCCTTATATTGCATCACATAATGAGTCTATTCCAAACTCGTACTTACCTTTTATCTGGTCCTTATATCTGGAAGCGAGGATATTATCTGTTTCATCTAAAGGAGTATGAACAAAGAAATGCTAAGCTTCTTAAATCTAAATCATATTCCTCCTGACAAACAAACCGGTTTTATTACTGATCATACTTATTAGAGTGATATGTTAGACGTTATAGGCTACATTTTTAGATATTGTTGAACTTTATTAAGGCATTTGAGGTGTCTTTGTTTATGTGAAAGTGCTCGAAGGATTTAAGGCTATATTTTGTCGGACAGAACAGGTTGTTTACAATCAGCTGCAGACATTCTCCGATCTTGTGTACTTGAGCTTTTTGAGTGTTTTTCGTCACTCCAACAATGACGTTTATGCGGATGACATTAAAATTTATTATTCCTCATCATTTATTTTCTAACATTGCAACTGATCAACTCTTAAAGCTTAACCGCAATAAGTTTTCAGTAAAACTTTCTGGAAATGATAATTATTTAATTCATGCAATTTTCCGAATTTAATCTGACTATTGATTCACAGCTGCGGTAGTGCAAAATAAAACTTGTGACTGAAGTGGCCTTTATAAAACTGGTTGCATCTCATTCAATCTATGTGAAAAACGCGTCACAGTAAAGAATTATTTAAAAGACCATATTCCCTATAATACAGCCGTTTATATTAACCTTAACTAACTAAACTAATGAAAACTATTAATATTCATCGGTATGACTCAATGTTTAAAACCAATATCAAGAAGCAGTTATTGTGATCCCAACTTCTTACAGGATATGTGGCCCTTTGTTCAGGTTTCCACTTCTTTTGTTTAGAAGCTAAATAACAACGGATAATGCATAATGTATAGTGCAAAATTCTGTGTATGTACCAACTTTTCTAACTTTTTTGAATTCTAATCAGTACCGGGATCTGATAACTGCCCAGAGAAGACTTATCGTTGACGATCCATTTATTTGAATTTGGTTACTTAATTACATATAATTTCAATGGTTCGAACAATAAATGTATTATTATTATTGTTACACCATATTTGGTAAATAATAGGTAATATTTTTGAAACATTTTTTCATAATTGTGATTTGTGTTCTTTTTAACCATCGGTAGTTTACGACTCAACTTTTAACAATATAAAACGTCTGATAACAATAATAATAATAATAATAAATATTGGAAACCCATTATTTACGCATGAAGTTTGAAAACTTATACTTCGCGCTTTTCCTTTCTTACAGAAAACAATACTTAAACATGCTGGGCACTTTATTGGTTATAAAGAACACATTAGCATCTTTTTGTTTATGCGGGGAGCAGTAAGCAAATAATCCAGAAAATAGTGAAAAATACCAATACCAATAAACACTTAAATAAAAACTTAAAAATAACTGATAAACGATGCTCGATAGTGGGTCCGGTATATTGGTTATTATGTTGTACGAAAGAATCGGAAAACTTCAATAACGTGTAATGAAAAGTTGAGGGCTGCGAACTTTGGTCGTAAGTTCAAATTGTCCCGTTATATCCGCTGTTTCCTAAAACCCAGGGGACTCCTCTGACTTGAATTTTGCCTTCGACAAAAAAAATCCGATCCAAAAGTAAGTTGCGGTTTTGAGGCCGAAATCGTACGGCAAGGGATTTATTTTGTTTGTATAACGTAAATGCCTTTTTGTGCTTTCGCTTTTGCAAGATTTCAAATGCATTTACGACGTTTTCGGTGAGAAATTTGGATTTCGTACGGGGCGGGCCAAATTCGACTTCTTTTGGAGGTTTTTGTGATAATTTCAAATACGAAATCCTCATCTGTAAAAGTTGCTGATTTAAGAAGGATCTATTTGATTGTTTTTTGGAAAAACCGTCTGGTGGCTTTCGTATTATTCAACATTCAGTATTTTATTTCATTTCTAGACGCCACATCAAACTTGCTGAATTACATACACAAAGTTACGTGCCTTAAAAAAATAATTAATAAAAAAGACCGCTACTTAGAGTCTCAGCCCGGTAACTATGCTCTATTATAGCGCGATACGGAAATTTTTGTTATTACACTAAGAGCGCAATTCGTTAGCAAGATATCATTGATGAAAAAGAACTAAAACGTCATAGGTAATTAGGTAATAGCGCTACCTGCCCGCAAACATGCTACAAAACGTTTATAATGTATTGTCACGTGAAGATAATGCTAATGGTTACTTGTTACCAATAGCTCACGATAAACAAGGTATCAATATTTGCTTGTTCGATAACATAGTTAATTTCGCAAGGTACTGCATCATAGCGGCCCGACATTTTCTCGAATTCGTAGCGAAGTTTTGATTTTTTCTTCTTACAACTCAAATTATCATATATTTAAATTTGGAAGCATTGTTGTTGATATCTGGGTCCTATCAACTTTAAAGAAATTTTTGTCTAACGGTTTTCTAACTTAATGAGACTGTAACTTGCACCCTCCAAAGTTAAGGGACATTAGTGACGTCAATTTGAATCAACGCCAACTATTGACTCTAACATAGTAATGACAACAGTTTAAGATTTTTTAAATTCTTGCATAAAATTTTTGACAAAGTTACTTAATGCAATAGTAAATTATGCAACAAGCGCAGTAAACTGCATTTGAGCCCAGCAGAGCGAGTGTTTAATAAACGAGTGAATTAAAAAATTTACCGAACGTGTTGCATACTATACTTTTTCTACGAC